TGTCATCTCTTTATGAAAGAGCACAACCATAGGATGGGGAATAAGAAGAGCCATATGAAACACGCACGTTCTGGGAATGCAAAACTGGCAGTGTAATGTAAAGAAGGCCTAATTGGAAATATTGAGACCAGCAGAGTAAGGGGTCATCAGCACTGCTGAAATGGCTGGAGGGGGTCACCCAGGGAAGGGGCGGCTCCCAGAGAGGATGTGCACAAGCAGACACTGCACAGTGCTTACTACGAAGTGGGAACTGTTTTAAGTACATTAACTTATTAAATCTTCATTGACTCTGTGACTCAGGTACTATAATTATCCCCTTTTTACAGATGTATAAACTGAAGGCACAGGAAGATTACTTGAACCTGCCCAATGTCACACAGCTACTAAGCAGAACTGCTTAAATTCCAACCTAGGTAATTTGGCCCCAGAGTCCGTAGTCTTAACTATTACCCTTTACTGAGCCACCAGAGATCCCCTGAATGGACTTGTTAAAGTCCTTACCTTGTTCTGCAAATTTGTGGGGATCAAAAGGTTCACCTTTGAGCTGTGTCACACTGGACTGAAGCTGGATGGCTGTTGATTCCTGCTTGGCCTTCAGATGCACTGCATCCCCTGAGAGCACTTCAGAATGTCCATGATCACAATCTAGGGCCTGAAGGCAGGGAGGTATATTTGGATTCATGAGAGAAGGAACCCAGGCTAATACTCAGTGAAAGAGATCAGAGCGGGGAGGGTATAGCTCAGTGGTAGAGTGTGTGCCTAGCATGCACAAAGTCCTGGGTCCAATCCCCAGTACTTCCACTAAACATAAATAAATAAAAACCTAATTACCTCCCTCCTCCCAAAACAAACAAACAAACAACAAAAAGAGAGATGATATGGAACCACATGAAACAGTTTGCAGAGCAATGGCACAGTGGAAGGTCCAGAGTTTAATTCCACACCCCAGACAGAGGGGGAGAACAAGAGTGGCCAGCATGGTGTGGTGCTTCAAAATATGTTCACAAGTTCTCTGATGCTCCTCCCATTAAAAGGTGGAGCCTAACTCCCCTCCCCTTCAGTGAGAAATGTACTCAAAAACGGCTCCTTTCTACTGAATAGAATGCATGGCAGAAGTGCTGGTGTATGACTTCTGAGACTAAACTGTAACAAGGATGCAGCCTCCTCCTGATTTTATTTCTCTGCCTCTCTCTCGGGGAAGCCAACTGACATGTTCGGAGGACACTCAGTGAGCCCTAGGGAGAAACCCACAAGGTAAAGACTTCCTGCCAACAGCCAGGGAAGAACCGAGGCCCACCGCCACACCGACTGCCAGCCATGGTCAGGTCTTCAGAGGACTGCAGTCTTGGCTGACATCCTCACTGCAACTTCTTGAGAGAGTCTCCCAAGTGGCTCCCAAAATCCCGACTCACAGAAACTGGGAGATAATAGTTTTTTTAAGCCGTTAAAGCTTGGAGGGTAATTTGTTGCCCAGCAACAGAGAACTAATACACGTGGCCACAGCTAACCAACCTGGGTCACCAAACTTCACCCCTCCTTTAACATTCCATGTTTAGGAGCCCACCTGGTTCTCTGGCTCACTGAGCTCTCGCTCCAGATCTTCAACTGCAGCCACCACCTCCTCCCCACCCTCTGGGTGACGCTCCCGCACCCAGGCCTGGAGCTCCTCAGGCAGGATGGTCAGGAACTGCTCCAGCACCAGCAGCTCCAGGATCTGCTCCTTCGTGTGTGTGTGTCTGGCCTGAGCCACTGGTGACAGAGCTCCCGGAGCCGGCTCAGCGCCTCTCGGGAACCAGGAGTCTCTTGGTAACAAAAGTGCCTAAAAAGTTGGCGGGAGGCTTCCTGGCCAGAAAAGCTCTTCTTTTGAAGATAGGTTTCTTGATCCCAGATAGGGTCTTCCTCCATCTTCACAACCTTAAGTCCATCCTGTTCCCCTGCTGAAGCCATTCTGGGATTAACTTAGAAGGGCTCACTCCAGCCTGCAGTGAAGGGGTAATTGATTTAAGATCCCCAATTGAATCTCCTTTAGGAGGATACACCTGATAAGAAAATATTATATATTAATGGAAATTTAAAAAGTAGTGGGAAAACAACAAGTTTCTACTGTATAGCACAGGAAACTATATTCAATATCTTGTAGTAACCTATAATGAAAAAGAATATGAAAAGGAATATATGTATGTATATGCATGACTGAAACGTTATGCTGTACACCAGAAATTGACACAACATTGTAAACTGACTATGCAGCCAGCTAACCCCCAGACGAGTGAGTGAGCCCAGCTGAGATCAGCAGAGCTGCCTCGCGGATGCATAGCTGACGGCAGCTGTATAAGTAAGCCCTGCCCAGGTCAGCGGGACCCCACAGATCCGTGTGTTTATTGCTGTATGCCACAAAAGATTTGTGATCATTTGTTACACCACATTATTACAGCAATGAGAAACTAATATAGAGGGGTGGCCTCCGGGGAGGGAACTAGATAACTGCAGAAGAAGAGAGGAAGGGAAATTTCCATGTCATACCTTCTATATTTCTTCTGCTTTCTGAACCATTTGAAATAAAGTACTTACTCCAAGAAAATAAATTAATAAATAGTAGTGATTTCGATGAATACTGAGGGAGCAAAGAGTAGGAAAAACATAATTCTGACAGGATGTGGAGCAGTGAAAGAAGGTGGCTTAGGAGCAAGTACATTTGAATTAGGCCTAAAAAACAGGTAGAGAAAGTGCGACGGGAGGAGACTCAACATCACAGGCCAAGCAAACAGCAGAACCAAAGGTATTTAAGGTTACACTGCACAGTGGCTCTAAAGACAGGTGGGGGGGTCCTGGTGGAACCAGAGAGTGTAGAGTGTGGGAGAAAATGCGGGACAAGAGATGAGAAAGAGGCATATCACCGGAATGGAAGACAGCCCTGAACTATAGGCTAAGATGTTTAGACTTGAAAAACCGAGGGACGTCAAAGTTTTTACTTCATTGTCATAGAGTTAGATCTGTACTTTAAAGGAATACTGAGTATGATTCAGGGTGGAAATGGTAGGAATGGATTGTGGGGCTGTATAAGCTGGGAGGTTTAATGGGGGTTACACTGATATGTTTACTTTAGTGGTGGAATTTAAGTTTTATATATGACGTTATTAATAGAATCATTAAGATCTGAGAGAACTGCAAAAAGTTTCTGGGAGATTAGAGACTCAAGGTGGTGTGTCTCAAACTGTAGGGAACTAGGCTTACTTTCTGATGCTAGAGGCTTCAGAAGACTTCCACACTCCTGCAAGGGGGCAGGGAAAAAAAAGATTGTAGGCTGCTGACTCAGGCTATGGCTTGATCAGAAACTACGGGCCCAGGAGCCAAGGGACAAGACCAGACTTATGTGCAGTAACTAAGCCCTGAAGCTGCTGGTCCCATACTAGGTCAGCCCACTCCAGTATCTCCTTCGGGCAGCAACACTCAGACACTGGGTGTAAGTCCCAGAAAGGGTCTTAAATAGAATGCTGAATGAAGGAGAGAGAGAAATCTAAAACAGCCTCCTACACAAAATAAATCTACAAACTAAATTCCAAAACACACGAAGAACTCTAGTCCTAAGAAAAATAACCAACAATCAGAAACTCACTTGAAATGAAATTTATTTTACAGTCCAGGGAATTTTTTAAATAAGTGATTTTGAGAAATATAAGAGATAATGAAACCAAAAAAGGGCAAAAATGCAACATCAAGTCGATGTAAAAGAGAACTAATTAGAAATCTTAGGATTTAAGAAAAAATTTTGACATTTAAAATGCATTCAAGGATAAACAAGAGTGGACACAGTTGAAGAATAACTGATTTTTAAGACAATACTGAAGACTTCACTCGGAACATAGCAAGGGATGAAAGAGAGAAGAAAGAGCAGTTAAGGAAGGACCTACATTAAAAGGATACAACACTGATATCCAGGAGATTCAGAAGGTAGTGAATGACTGAGAAATAACAGTTGAAGAGGAAAAAAATAAGAATTTTCCAGAAATAAAGGTATGACTTCTCAGATCAAGAGTGCACACTGAGTAGGTGAGGGGTATAGCTCAGTGGTAGACTGCATGCTTGGTGTGCACAAGGTCCTGGGTTCAATCCCCAGTGTCTGTTAAGGGCAAACGTTAATATAAATAAACATATGTTTAAAAACGACCAGAAAAACATTTGACAGGGAGCGAGACCCGCAACCGGACGCCCCTGCTCACCTGCCCACCCGGGTCCCGCCGCAAAGCTCCGCGGCCTCCAGGGGGCTCTCCCACGACGCCGGCGGGGGCAGCGGCGGCACCGCCTTCTACTTCAGGGCAGTGTCCAGGGGATGGCGGGGCCCACGCCTGCCCAAGTCCCCTCCCCGCCTACTTCGGGGCGCCCACCTTCATCTCCCAGGCCCGGCGGGTCCGGGACGAGGGGCCTGAGACTCACCTTCGGGGCCCGGGGACGCTCCAGATCCGCGGCGGGGGCAGCAGCGCCCGGACCCGCGACGAACCACAAAGGCCGGAAGTGCGTCAGCCGTCGGAGCCCAGTCGCCGAAGGCGAGCGCCCTTTCCCCCCCTGGGGCGTCCTAGTACTCTCTAGGAGCCCCGGAGGTTGTTGCATCTTGGTGCCTACCTCTTTCCCAAGCTGGGAGCCAGAAGTCCAGCCTGATCACAGAGCCAGATTGCTGTGCAGAATGGCTCTCGGCATCTGGGAGTCAGGAAGTCATGGTCACGCGAAACTTTAGGGGTGGAAGGGGCTTCTTCAGTTCTGGCACTTAACACAATCCATCCCTGCCTGAGGCGCTCCCTTCCTCTGGCCCCTTTGACACCACTAAGGAGAGATGGTAGTTGTGGTCGGGGTTTTCTTTGTTGTTGCTTTGTTAGTTTGTTTTTAACCTTTGTTTTCTGGAATCTCAGTCTAGAAGGAGACACGAGTACGTAAACAGGTAACTACATAAAGCTAATTTGTATGTGAAATGAAATAAATTAAAATGAAGTAAATGTAAATCGATTAGGACAGTCCCTGGACCATAGTAAATGCTGCGTTAAGTACTTAGAGAATAAATGTATGTAGTAGGCCGAAGGGGAAAGACTAACAGAGAAGAAGAGAAAGCTGTAGGATTTGCCACTGTACAAAGGGAATGGATCCAGAGAAAGGAATTTCCAGGAGATGGAATACAAGAATAAAATCAGGAATGGGGTGAGATACTTTGGTCATCCAGAGAACTGGGCAGATCTTGATGGCTGGAGAATGGAATATACGGCAGGGGACACCAGCGGTCACTGTTCCTGGATCCCTAACCAAAGATGTGATCAGATCTGCACCTAGAAGTAAGCCAGAAAGAGAAGGAAAAAATACCATACTTCACATATGGAATTTAAAAAAGAAAAAAGAAGACACTAATGAACTCATCTACAAAACAGAAACAGACTCACAGACATAGTAAACAATCTTACGGTTACCAGAGGGAAAGGGGAGAGGGAAGGGATAAATTGGGAGTTTCCAATTTGCAAATATTAACTACTATATATAAAAATAGATAAAAAACCAAATTTCTGTATAGCACACAGAACTATATTCAATCTTATAGTAACCTTTAATGAAAAAGTATGAAAATGAATAAATGTGTATGTTTGTATAACTGAAACATTATGCTGTACACCAGAAATTGACACATTATAACTGACTATACTTCAATTTAAAAAAAAGGTTTGCACCTAGAAATGTTATCATGGCAGCGGTGTGGAGGAGAGACTGGAAGCACTTGAGATTACAGGCAGGTGGACCAGTTAGGAGACAACTGCAGGAATCCAGGGTAGATAGGATGAGGGCCTGAATCAAGGCGATAGTCACAGAAACGGAGAGAAAGGAATAGATAATAAACATTAAGAAGTGGAATTCATTTATTTTCTCCATTCATTTAACAAATTCTCTTTGAATGCATTCTCTGTGCCAAAGGTTTCCTCCAGGGACTGTATATAATAGTAATGAACACAGGTCTTGACCCTCACAAAGCTTAAAAAAAGCAATATAGACAGTGGAAGATCTAGTGTATGTAATTTGGGTGAAACATAGTTATGAAAATGGGTATTTAGAATGGAAAATCACATCATATTACAAATTTTAAAGTCTAACAAACATCAAACATAAAAATCAGAAATATAATAAAATGTTTTATTAATTGTCTGATGCACTTCTATAGTAATTTTTTCCTAAATTATTGGCTTTATATTCTTGGGCTGTCTTGTTATGTTAATTTTGTAATTTAAATTTTTCTAGAAAGAATACAAAGATAATATAGTCTACTATGCTGTACATTAGAAACTAACACAACATTGTAAATCAACTATACTTAAATTTTTTTTAAAAAGGTAATGTCTATCCTCTAGCATGGCTGATCAAAAACATTTTAAATTGTTGATATTTGGGTAGACCTCTATCAGGTTTCTTTCAATTATGAGCTACAGGATTTTAGGACATTTTAAGTTTAAGTTTAGAATGTCTGAGAATCTCTTATATTGATGACAGTAACAATTGTGTTCTCATTGTCAGTAGCAGACATTGTCAATGTTAGTATTTTATGTCAGATGTGCAAGAAATTTAAATCTCTTTTCACTGTGTACAGTGATTCATTTCTCATCAGACTATTGAACAATTCAACAGCCAATTTATTACTTTATTCAAAATTTAGCTTTCCTTCTGATGAATTACTGTTCTCATATAATCTCAAATTTAAAAAAATATTCACTATACATTCAGTGTACTGATCCTTTGTTGATTATACATGTTGCAAATATCTTCTCCCATGTGAATTTAGAATCAGTTAAGTTTCATAGAACACATTATTGCAATTTTGATTGGCTTGCATTGAATTTAGATATTAATTTAGGAAGGAATGTTTTCCTTACAACATTGTTCTTCTATACACAGACATGGTGTCTCCATGGTATATATCTCCATTATCCATCCTTTTTTTAAAAAAATTATTGAAATATAGCCAACTTACAATACTCTGTTTCTGGTATACAGCATAGTGATTCAGTTGCACATATATATATATCCCTTTCCATATTCTTTTTCATTATAGGCTATTACAAAATATTGAATGTAGTTCCCTGTGCTATACAGTAGGACCTTATTTATCTATTTTATATACAGTAGTTAGTATGTACAAATCCCAAACTCCCAACTTATCCCTCCCCACCCACCTTCTCCACTGGTAACCAAAAATACGGAGATTTCTGGTCAAGATGGCGGAGCGGTAGGAACATGAACTCACCTCTCCTCATGACTACAACAAAACCACAACTGACTGCTGAACAACTATTGAAAAAAAAACTGGAACCTAGCAAAAAAGATCTTCAACTGGAAACATAAAGAGGGACCCACAGCAGGATGGTAAGAGGGGCAGCTCATGATATAATCAGGCCCCGTATCTCCCAGCAATTTGTAATTAAATTGACAAAAATTAAGGTTAAGGAGAAAATATTAAAATTAGCAAGAGAAAAGCAACAAGTAACATACAAGGGGACACCCATAAGGTTATCAGCTGATTTTTCAGTAGAAACTCTACAGGCCAGAAGGGAGTGGCACGATATATTTAAAGTGATGAAAGGGGGAAACTTACAACCAAGAATACTCAATCCAGCAAGGCTCTCATTCAGATTTGATGGAGAAATCAAAAGCTTCAGAGATAAACAAAAGCTAGAAGAATTCAGCACCATGAAACCAGCTTTACAACAAATGTTAAAGGAATTTCTCTAGTCATCAAATCATAAGAAAAGAGAACAAAAAGAAGAAAAAAGAAAAAAAGAAAGACCTGCAAAAGATTGCTTTGGCAGTTCGGGGTCTTTCATAGTTCCATATAAACTTTGGAATTGTTTATTCTAGTTGTCTGAAAAATGTCATGAGTATTTTGACAGGGGTTGCATTGGATCTGTAGATTGCTTTGGGTAATATGGCCATTTTGACAATGTTGATTCTCCCAATCCAAGAGCACAAGATATCTTTCCATTTCTTTGTATTATCTTCAATTTCCTTCATCAGTGTTTTACAGTTTTCAGAGTATAGGTAGCCTTCTTGGATAAGTTTATTTCTAGGTATTTTGTTGTTTTTGATGCAGTGGAAATGTTTTTGCCACATATAAAATTATGGTTTTTGAAGTGAAAAAAGTGAATGAAGGGCCACACATGGTAAAATATCCTTCTCTCTTATTGGTGAGTTGCATTCCGTTATATATATATATATATTTGCTGCATCTCCTTTATCCATTCATCTCTTGATGTGCACTTAGGATGCTTCCATATCTTGGCAATTATAAATAATGTTGCTGTTAATAGCAGGATGTATGTATCTTTTTGAATTAATTCTTATTTTGTGGTTGGCTTTATTCCTGTGATAACTATGTAAGTTTAAAAAGCTAAAGCTCTAAACGTTCTTAGAAACAATGAACGGTACATGTATGTCAATTTAAAAAATATGTACAATATATTGTGTCTATGTATTTACATATATTGTATACTTGCAAATTGTAACAATTCTACCTAATAAAACTGAAAATGAAAGAAAGAAATTTTGGCAAAGATGTGGAGAAAAAGGAGCCCTTGTGCACTGTTGGTGGGAATATAAATTGATGTAGCCACTATGAACTGTATGGAAATTCCTTAAAATATTAACAATAGAACTACCATATGATCCAGCTATCCCAATTCTGGTTATTTATCCAAAGAATATGAAGACACTAATTTGAAAAGACATATGCACCCCTATGTTTATTGTAGCATTTGTTTACAATAGCCAAGACATGAAAACAATCTAAGTGCCCATCAACAGATGAACAGATAAGGAAGATGTGGTATATATATGACAGAATACCATTCAGCCATTCAAAAAATACGAAATGTTGCCATTTGTGATATGCTAGGTGAAATACATCAGATGGAGAAAGACAAATACTGTATGATTTCACTCATATGTGAAATATAAAAAACAAAAAAACTCCTAAAACACAAAATAATGAACAAGTCAAATCAAACCAAACAAAAACAAGCATATAGATACAGAGAACAGAGTAGTGGTTACCAGAGGGAAAGGAATGGAGGGGAACATGAAATGGGTAAAGGGGATCAACTGTATGGTGATGGATGGAAATGAAATTTTTGGTGGTGAGCATGCTGTAGGGTATACAGTAGTAGAAATATAATGGTGTACACATGAAATATGTTATAAGCCAGTGATACCTTAACAAAATATAAATTTTAAAAAACCTATCATGTTCATTTGTACACTCGTGTGGTTTACTGTATATCAAGTTCCCTCAATAAAACTGCTTTAAAAATCATAACAGATTATATTGCAAATTTTAGGCAAATAATTTGAAAATCTAGATGAAATAGATAGTTTTCTAAGCAAATAACAGATTATCAAAATTGACCCCCATTAGAAACAGAAAACCAAATAGACCATTTTTGTAGAAATAGAAAAATTACCAAGGAACTATCCCACAGAAAAATGCCCAGATGGTTTACATTAGAATTCAACTTTCAAGAACCAGTTAATTTCAATGCTTTATCAATTGTTCTAGAGCAATAAAAATGAACAAAAACTTAGTACTTTTTAAGATGCAAGTAAAAGCAAAACTTAAATCTGAAAAAAAAATAGAAAAGAAGAAAATTATAGACCATTTTCACATAAATATTCAATAAAAATATACTAAATAAAAAATTAGCAAGTAGAACCTATTAATACATTAAGAAAACACCATGACTAAGTGGAATTTATTCCAGAAATTCAAGGTTGGTTCAATATTAGGAAATCCTTTCATGTAATTTAAGATACCAA